TACAGAGCTTCAAAGTGGTGGTTTTTGGAATGAGTTAAAGGCATGAACTAGGGAAGTATTTATAGAGTGGAGGGGACCCAGGGGCAGTTTAGGGTTACCTACAGAGGTTGAGGACCCAAGGGGGGAGGACTGAGTGCTGCAGGAGGGGCTAGCTGTGTCTGGAACAAGAGATCCAACAATAGTGGTAGAATATCTACCACCATTCCTGGTTCAGCCTAAACCAGGAATGGCGGTAGAAATTCTACCGCCATTATCTGATCTTTGCTAAAAAGAGTCCAACAGGTTTGCAATTGGTCTGATTTTACTATTCATTTAACCATAAAAGGAAATTATGGTAAAAACTTTACCGCCATTCCTTTAAGTTTTGAATTTGGGTTGTGAGCCCCGCTCCAACAGCTCCTAAAGACCTTCTAGGCCTATGTTTGGGCCAACAGGATGGTTTGGTTTTAGGTTTTGAGGTTTTTGGGCCTTAGTGGTTAAACTACGGCTTACCTAGGGTTTGGTTAGGGTTTACCTAGGGTTAGGCCTAGGATTTGAGTTTACCTAGGGTTAGGCCTAAGGTTTGACCAGGGTTTACCTGAGTTTGACTAGGGTTTGTTCTAGGGTTAGGCTTAGGGTTTAACCAGGGCTTACCCAGGGTTTGACCAGGGTTTATCTGGGGTTTAATTAGGGTTTACTTAGGGTTAGGCTAGGGTTTTACCTAGGGTTTGATGAGGGTTTACCTAGGGTTAGGTTAGGGTTTGACCAGGGTTTTACCTAGGGTTGCTAGGGTTTGCTCAAGGTTTACCTAGGATTGCTAGGGTTTTAACCAGGGTTTACCTAGGGTTAGAGTTTGCTCAATGTTTACCTAGGGTTGCTAGGGTTTACCTGGGATTAGGGTTTGACTAGGGTTAGGCCTAGGGTTTGAGGATGATTAATCATGGTTAAAATTTGTAACCATGATTAAGGAGGGTATAAAAATTGGGTGCTTACAATTGCCCCTCTTTGCCGGAGAGTGCCAAGTTAGAAATTTAACGGCAAATACTGGAATCATCTTATTTCTACACTAAGATTAGATTTTTAGCGATGATGATATGTATGCATGTTGTGCAAGTGGTATAATGTGCCTGCCTATACCTGCTGGGGATATAAGCAACTATGGAAAAGTGGAAGTGGTTGAGGGCCACACTCTGGGGAATAAAGAGTAGTACGGGCTACTCATGTTGGGGATTGATGGATGCTATGAAAGATTACATGTCACGGAAGCGCTAGCCAGAATGGTTGCTATGACATTACCCGGAAGTGTTTAGCTAGAACAAACGATGGACACGCGAAGCGTCGAAAGACATGCAGGAAGTGTAGCAGTATAACAAGTGAGTTGTCAAGATACACAGGATTTCAAAGAGACACAGGGTGTCAAGGAGGACATGCAATAGGCAATGCCGCGATATAACGAGACTGTCAAGGTGTATACAGGATGTCAAGGACACACAGGATGTTAAAGGGGGACATTCAAGAGGTAATAGCGCGGTATGACGAGATTGTCAAAGGGAAAACAGGATGTCAAGGACACACGGGGTGTCAAAAGGGGACATGTAGGAGGTAATGGCGCGGTATGACAAAATTGTCAAAGGGCACACAGGATGTCAAGGACACACGGGGTGTCAAAGGGGGACATGTAGGAGGTAATGGCGGGGTATGACAAAATTGTCAAAGGGCACACAGGATGTCAAGGACACACGGGGTGTCAAAGGGAGATATGCAGGAGGTAATGTCGCGGTATGATGAGATTTTCAAGAGGCACACAGGATGTCGGGGGACATGCAGGAGGTAATGTCGTGGTATGATGAGATTGTCCAGGGGTACACAGGATGTCGGAGACATGCGGTGGTGTCGTAAAGAAGACATTCAGGAGGTATTGTGGTATGACAAGATTATCAAGGGATACACAGGATCTCGAGGATATGCATGACGTTATGCCACAGTATAACGAGATTGTCAAAAGGCACACAGGATGTCGGGGACACACAGAGGTATCGTAAGGGGGACATGCAGGAGGCATCACGGTATGACATGATTGTCAAGGGATACACAGGATGTCGGGAACATGCAGAAGGTAATGCCGTGGTATGACAAGATTGTCAAGGGGCACACAGGATGTCGGGGACACATGGGGGTGTCGGAAAGCATGTGGCATGTCCAAGAGGCATTAGCCGAATTTATTTTGAAATGGCCCAGGGGCGCTAGATTTTGAGGATGTCAAGTAGGGTGTAAAGGCGAGGATGCTTTCCCATGACTTTGTTGACTACGACTCGCCGGGATGCGTGGTGTCGGCTTCTTCTACTTTATTTTACCGAGAGCTGCAGGTTGGTACGACCAGGTCTCGGTACCAGAAGCTATGTTTTGAAAAAAAAATTTAGAAAAGTGTTGTGGACTTTTGCAAAAGTTTTTATTAACAGAAAGATTTCTTAGCTAACTTTTAGATTGTTCAGGAAACTACCTTCGTCAGGGCTCAAGGGATTTGTGATCTGTCTTTTATTCCCAGATAGTGGAGTATGACCCAGAAGAGGTTTCGTTACCACTGAAGATGTTTGGGGGAAGACATGCTTGTCTTGCTGTCGTTGGAGATTAGAAACTCTGGCTGGGGAGAAGCTTGCTGAAGAGAAATTGTAAGCTTCTAGACTCTTGTTGGGGAGAGTGTCGTAGAGAGCGATTGGGGGCTCCTACTGGGAATCCATTGGGGGATTTGATACTGTTGTAAACCACCGCTGGGGGCTTGTTGGAGATCGTAGACTATCCGCTAGGGAGTTGTTACATCTACTGGGGATGATCGGGAGTTTGGTGAGACTAATTACTGTCGGATTTTGTTACCAAACTACTCTTCAACTTTCTCCATTTTTTACCCTTGAAATAACCAAGTCATGGGGTTTGCATAATTTTTGCGTAATGTAGCCATTACCGGTTTTCCTCATGCCTATGAAGCTGGTTGATTTTTGACCATTTTTGCCCCTAGTCGCAAGACTAGATTTGGGGTCGTTTAATTTTTTCACAATGAGGTCGTTGCCAGTTTTCACTCATGCCCATGATTTGTTGGGAAAATGGATCTTCTCCCTTCATTGCTCTAAATGGCACTCTGCTGACGATTTCTATTCCACTGAGGATGTAGATGTGATATTACACTTGCACTCGTAGTTTCTAGGTGATCCAGGAGGACTTAGAGTAGGACAAAATGTAGGCTGGGGGGACTAAAGTTTGGGACACCCTGTGATTTCTTCTGTTGCAGTTGATTTGTTCTTTGTTGGGAGATTTGTACCTTGGGATTTCTGGGAGAGATTTTTTTTTTTTTGCTCTGCTGGGGAATTTAAAATAGATTGTCTCTACTGGTGATTGTTTCTCGGAGAGCTTGTCTCTACTTGGAGAGTTTTTAGGAGAGGCTGTCCCTGAAAGATCTCTGTTTGGGAAAGAGTTTAGAGAGGTTGTCTTCGCTAGGAGTCTCTGATTTTGAGAATGTTTCAACTTCTATTTTTGGTTTTTCTTTGATGAAAATTTTGTACCCTTGAGGATCGACCCGGCTGGGGGAATTAGGAGAGTTCTGACTTTGTTTGGGAAAAATTTTTTACTCTGAGAGGGATCTTTGGAGAGATTTTGACTTTGCTTGGGATGGTTTAGGAGATATCTGTATCCCTTTTGTGACCGCACCTGATTGTTAGGTTGCCTATGTACTCTTTGCAGGATCAGGTTATGACGTAGTTCAGGCCAATGCCACAGAGGGCAAGGGTGGGTGTCCCTAAAAATGTAATATAAAAAAAGGGCTATTAGGCTCAAGTGGGCTAACTAGCGGATTTCATTGATTTGAAAATGGTTTACATTGCTGGAGATAAGGAGTGTGCCAAGGATGACCTCTTGTCATTTCTTGGAGAATCTACGCGTGCAAAGCGCTTATCAGATCTAGACCCTAAGCGTAGTATCGTTTAACTTTGTCAATGTTGACGGGATCTGGGAGGTTCTCGTCATCCATACATCCGAGTCGAAGGGCACCGTCAGAGAATTTGTCTCGGAAGATGTATGGGCCTTCGTAGTTGGGCGTGAACTTGCCCCTTGGGTCAGGACGGTTTAGTAACATTTTTTGGAAAACCAGGTCACCAACTTCAATGCTTCGTGGCTTGACTTTCTTGTTGAATGCCCTAGCCATGCGCCTCTGATAGGCCTTAGAGTGGTTGATAGCTTTCAGTTGTCATTCTTTAATCAGATTTAGCTGCTCATATCGGGCCTATGTCCATTCTGCCTCTGAGATTTCTGTTTCCATTAACACCGGGACTGATGGAATTTCTACTTCAATAGAGAGAACTGCTTCTATACTATAAGCCAGAGAAAATGGCGTTGCCCCAGTTGAGGTTCGGATGGACAGTTTGTAAGCCATGAGTGTATATGGGAGCATCTCATGTTAGGCAGAGTAATTGGTTGCCATCTTTTCTATGATTTTCTTCATGTTCTTATTGGCGGCTACCACTGCACCATTGGTCTGTGGCCTATATGGAGTGGAATTGTGATGCTGTATCTTGAATTTTTGGTAGAGATCTTTCATCCCCTTGTTGTAAAAGTCGAGAGCATTATCTATTATAATCTCAAATGGGACACCGTACCGGCAGATGATGTCCTTTTTCAAAAAATGCTTAGCCACAAAGGCTGTGACGTTGGCATAAGAGGCTGCCTCGACCAATTTTATGAAGTAATCTATTGCTACCAGGATGAATTGATGTCCGTTTGATGCTTTCGGGATTATGGGACCAATGATATCGATGCCCCAAGCTAAGAATAGCCAAGGAGCAGTGAGATTGTGCAGCCTGGTTGGCGGTGCATTGATTATGTCGGTATAGATTTAGCACTTGTGGCACTTCTAAACATGCTGGCAATAGTCTGATTCCATTGTAGACCAATAGTAGCCTAGTCTGAGTATCTTCTTGAAGAGCATTAACCCGTTCATTTGTGGGCCGCAAGTTCCTTGGTGTCTTTTGTTGATCAAGCGACACCTGGATTTGTACTAGGGAAAAAGGATTTACAGTCCTCCACCTTACCACTCAGCCATGCCGCCAAAACTTCTTCAACTACCTGTGTAGCTTCACGGGTATTGAGGCATCTAAGGCAGATCAAGTTCGGTGATCTCTTGTACAAGATTCCTCTTAAGATGACAAACTGAATGGTCAGTCTTCTGATTGTCCGACGGTCTATTTTGGTGGCATTGAGTGGGAAGGTCCCTTCCTCGAGATATTGCTTGATGTCTGTATACCAAGGCTCATTGTCGGATACCTGTTTGATCTCAAGGCAGTGGGCAAGCTGATCCTGTTGCTGAATCTCGATTGACCATAGCATGACTCCCCCTGGGGATTTGAACCATGGAGGCGAGAGTAGCCAGTGCATCAGTAAATCTGTTGTGGTTCCTGAACCTATGACTGAGGTGATTCTTTTGAATTGAGTGATCAGCATGTTGAGGTAGGCTAGGTATGGGACTAACCTTACTTCTCGGATGGCCCAAGATTCGTTTGTGTGATAGATTACCAAAGACAAGTCGCCGTAGACGTCTATTTCTTCAATCCTGATGCACAAGGCTTCTTTCAGTCCGGCTAAGCATGCCTCATATTCTATTTTGTTGTTTGAGCATCTGAATTTCAGCTTGACTAAGATAGGGAGGTGGGTTCCCTTAGGTGAGATCAGGATTGCTCCTGCCCCATGTCCATGACTGTTAGTTGCTTTGTCGAAATATAGCTCCCAACCGAGGTATTGCTGCTCTTCAGACTCTTCATACAAGATGGCTTTATCTGAAAATTGATCATGTACTGAGACGTAGTCCTGTGCTGGACTGTGGGCTAGGTGATCTGTAATTACCTGCCCCTTGATTGCCTTTTGAGTTATGTACGTGATGTCGAATTCAGGCAACATTATAAGCCATCGGGTTGTTCTCCCCAGTAGTGGCTAGCTTTTCTAGTAAGTACTTGAGTGGGCCTATCTAGGAGATCAGGATTGTCGGGTAAGAAAGCAGATAGTACTGGAGGCACTGAGTAGCCCAGATCAATGCTAGACAAGTTTTCTCGAGCGGGTTGTACCACTCGTCATACTCTAGTAGGCGCTTACTGATATAGAGATGACTTGCTCTGTTTTGTCTGTCTCATCATGCTGTGCCAGGATGCACCCCATGGAGGTTCCTTGTACTGAAATATAGAGTAGCAGTGGTCATCCCGGTGTAGGAGACACAAGTACTAGAGGATGGAGAAGATACTACTTTATTCTGTCAAAGGCTTCTTGGCACTCGTCTGTCTAGACTGTAGGTGTATTCTTCCGGAGAAGATTGAAGATTAGCTCGCATATCGGAGTGAGCTGAGAGATGAATCGACTGATATACTGAATTCTGCCCAGGAATTTGTGGATTTCCTTTTCAGTCTGAGGTGTTGGCATTTCGATGATAGCTTTAGCTTTAGCTTGATCGATCTCGATGCATCTTTTGCTGACTAGAAAGCCAAGGAGCTTTCCTGATGAGGCTTCAAGGACACATTTGACTGGATTCAGTCTTAGGCCGAACTCTCTGAGTCTATCACACAGTCTCTTCAGGTCTTCCGGGTGATGCCCCTCCTTGATCTATGAAAGGACTTGAGCATCAATGGTTAAAAGCATTTGTCCCCACTTCCCGACAAGCAATGACGGAGAAGAATGAAGAATTATCAGAAAATGTTCAAAAGTAGAAGACAACTGACCTTACAAAGCTTACATATCCAGTCCTGGTGAAAACCCGAAAGGGCCTAGGGGCAAAAGAGGGCTCAAAATTAAATTTTACGTGCATAATAGGGAATCATCAATCTTACTACTGCACAAAAGTTACGTGAACCCAGTCCTGGTGAAACCCCGAAAAGGCCCAGGAGTAAAAAAGGGACAAAGATCAAAATGTGCAGTCTCAATGAGAATCAATCAGCCATCATCAGGCGAGTACTATCTTGAATATCGAGTACATAGTAGAAGCAAATGAGAATAGATATTAATCTATCTCAAAAGTGATCAACTCAAATTGATTCAATTTCCCCTAAAGGCAAAGGAATCCTAGCCAGGTTTCCCACTAAAGGCAATCTTAAATACCTTTTCAAAATACAAATAGTCAATTTCATTGCTAAATAAACAACCTATCAGTCAGTCCTTCTATCATTTAGTCAATCTTTCAATCAACAGTCTGTCTACCAATAAATAATTGGTCAGAGTCGTTTCCTTAGTAGAGTTAGCTCAAAACAGATTGATCATTTCCGCTAGTGCAAGAAGATCTCCCAGTTGATAAAGGTGCCAGGAAATCAGCAAGGTCAAGGAAAGTAAATCATTCAAGCCAGGGGCAGGTCTAAGTTTAACCTCATCAGGACATCAATGCACAAACAGTGGGCAGAATTCAAGAACGGCTCAGGGTCACGCTCAATGCTCTCATTTCCCATATTTCATCACATCATCTATCAGTTATCAACCTATTCAAGTCACCTAATTTCATGAGATCATATTTCTTAATCAAAACTTCCCGATAGAGCTTTTCCTCGCTCTTATCAGCCTTTTCCTACTTGCTCATACTGAAGTGGATCATGTGATCCATTCGGATTTCTCTAAGTGAAGCAGTCGGGCGACTGTCTTTGCTCACTCTCTCTCTCGCTTATGCAAAAGCGGATCGTGTGATCCATTCGGATCTCTCCAGGTGAAGATGTCGGGCGACTGTCATTACCCTCTTTCTATTTTCTTGGCTTATTACCAGGTGAAGAAGTCAGGCGGCTGTCGTTACCATCTCTCCTTCTTTTTGGCTTGCTACCAGATAAAACAATCAGACGACTATCTTTACCCTCTTTCCCTCTTGTCTTTCTACCAGGGGAAACAGTCAGGCGGATGAATTTACCCTCTCTTCCCTTTCTTGACTTGCTATCAGGTGAAGCAGTTGGGTGGCTGTCTTTACCCTCTTTTTGGCTTGCTACCAGGTAAACTAGTCAGTTGTTGTCTTTATCCTCTTTTTGTTTTCTTGGCTTGCTACCTAGTGAAACAGTCATGTGGTTGTCTTCACCCTTCTCCTTTTTCTTGGCTTGCTACTCAGTCAGACAATCGGACGGTTATCTGCACCTTTGCATCTTACCCATTCTTTGAGGAGTATACTGAAATGGTCGTGTGACACGCTTTCAGTTGTGGCCTCTTGTGAAGCTGATTGTGTAACTTACCTTCACTCTTCAAGGAGTATACTGAAACGGTTGTGTGACCGGCTTTTAGTTGTGGCCTCTTCTAAAGTCAGTCTTGTATTCTTCACGCACTACTCGTTCACTATTTAAGGAGTATACTGAAATGGTTGTGTGACTGGCTTTCACTTGCGGCCTCCTATGAAGCCATTCTTGCACCCATCACTCGTTCAATTTGATCCTGGTGAAGTGGTTGTGTGATCGACCTTCACTACATTACATCTCTTTCCGGTGAAGTGGTTGTATGATCGACCTGCACCTCATTTCTTGAGAAGCGGCTACGAGCTCGACCTTCAATCCCCACTAGTATCTTGTGTTCACTCACTCTTATTCATCATGCATCCACCCTCATCCCTAATAGCCCTCTGAAATGAGGTTATAAACTACTATCCAACACTCCATCTTTTTTTAATTTTGGAAAGCTTAACTTAGGTTAAGTTTAACTCATCATCTTTTCTGCTATTTTCTTGTGTTTCCCCAAGTTTTGTAGGTTTTCAGGTGCAGAAATGATGGTGATTTTACTCTTTGTCATTCAATTGCCAACACTTTTTGACAAAGAGGAGCAGTTGTAAGTACCCCATTTTTGTACCCCTACTCTTCCCTCAAACCCTAGGCTTCCAGAAAACCCTAAGCCTAAATCTTAGCCTAATCCTTAATTCTAGCCTAACCATAATCTTAGCCTAACCCTAAACCCTAGCCATAACCCAAGAACTTAACCTTACATCAACCAAGCCCATTAACCATAACCCTAAAACATCAACCTACGCCCATTAACCATAACCCTAAACATCAACCTGAGCCCATGTCTAAATCCTAACCTAAGCCTAACCATTAATGTAAAGTCCATGTTTTAGTGTTGGCTTATTCCTTTGCCAAAACAGTGAGTCTAGTGTATCTTATGTCATTGCCTACAAGTGTCTAAGACAAGTGAAGATGAAGGCGGAAGAAGATAAGTTGAAGACATTTTGATCATAGCCTTCGTTTCATTCAAAGGATGGTAAGTGACCTAGATACCATGCTACCTTAGGTGGAAATTGAATTAGAATAATTATATGTGTTAGACATGATGCCCAGAAAAGTCATTTTCATTTTAAGATTCTTATTAATTAGATTAATAGAGACATCTTTTTTATCTATTGTGAGTTCAATATAGGTAATTGACCATGATTATGAGATATCGACAAAGGTCCTTAGGATATATTGTAGGAAAACTATGGGATGGGATTATCACAGGCAGATATGGCTTTCTAATTCCTTATACCTTATATAGTCACAACTATGAGTGAAGCTGGACACTTCACTTATATGGTTGTCATAATGATAAGATATTCTCAATAGTTGAGATGTAATTATATCTCAAACTATTGTAGTGGAGACTACACATCAGCATATAGGTGTTTAAATGTACATTGACTGATTACATGCAATGAGAGACCTTTTGCATAAACATACTATCAGTTAGTTGGTCTCTCATTCACATTGAATAGTTTCAATGATCCTTAGATCTGATGAGTTCATTTATAACTGAGCAGTAATCTGACTGTTTTGATTCCACTAAAGTATTCTCTACCATAGGGACTACGATACGGTGATAGTTGGATAGTAAGAAAGCTGTTTGAGTCATGATGAATTTCAAACAAGAAATTCATCCTCATTAAATTGAGATATTATCCAAGTTCCGGGTAAGACAGTCGATTAAGCTTAAATCTTACGCAGGTGATTTTGAAATCAAAAAAGCTTGAAATATATTTTTATTAAAATAAATTATACTTTTCAAAAGTTTTTCTCAAAATATTTTACATGAGAAATTGTTTCTCCTGGCTTAATCACAAGTCTTGGAAACCCGGATGATATG